CCACACTCCATCGTCTTTATCACCTGTCTAGAGAAATGAGAAAAAATCTTACACAAGAAGAGATGCAAAGGTAAGAATGTTATAGTTGGATAGGGCTAAAGTTACCAAACAAATATCTTCTACTAAATGGCATGGTAGTATGTTCTAGGTCAGAGTTTCTGGATCTCAGCCTAAGGACATTTTGAGTTGGATCATTTTATGTTGAGGGGACTGTCCTGTGCATTGTAGGATGTTTCACAGCTTCCCTGGCTTCTGCCCACTAGATGCCAGTATTAAGTAGCCCCCTAGCTGTGACAGCCAAAGATGTCTCCACACATTATTCTTTTTGGGCAGCATTCTTGGTTTTCAGTAGCTGTCTTTTGTCTGATAACCAAAACTACCAAAAGACCGATTGAATTAATTGCTATTTATAGAAGATGGTGTTAATGGTGTAATCTTTCTGTCCCCATCCAGATTATTTAGAGTCTATTTTTAGCCCAAATTAGAGAATTAAGAAGATATTTTACTCCCATCTAGTCACTTTGTCTAATTATAATATTGACTGTGGAACGTTTGGGAGAGGTGTGTGTGTGTATAAATAGAATAAAATAAAAGAAGGGTCTATAATAATCTTAGTAACTTAAGACTTTTTTTTTTTAATGTTACGTAGCCTATTTTGATTCAGTCATATGTTTGTGTTTTTGTATACTTCAGTTGTAATTATGCAACTTCTTCCAGCTTTACAGCAATACACAGAAACAGCTAAATGAGTTCTGTTAGTATGTTTTCCTTGAAATTCTTGAGGACTGTGTCCATTATGTCCTTCACTGTCCCAAATGTAATTCTTCTCTATTTGGTCTCTAAGCTACTGATATGCTCGTCCTTCCGAGAGCATTATAGTAAGAAGCTCTATGTCCATTATTATTCATAATAGCCTTGCGACTCAGAAAATGTGTATCTTGACTAAGGTCACAGTCTTGGAAATGGTAAGGCTGAGATTCCAACCCCTCACTCCTGGGCTCCAGAACCCACATACTTGGTGTCTTCCAGTGCTCTGAATTCAGCCTTTCTTCTTTCATTTCAAGGAAGCGAAATGTTATCTATGCCCCCTTCTCCCATAATTGTGTTCACTTATGCTCCTTGTGATTTTTTTCCCTTATTGCCATTTTTCCCTTAGTTTTTTGAACTGCCTTAAATAGTTTTTTTTTCATAAGTAAGTATGGAGTATACGAATGTGCTTTTACTCCCATTTAAACACTCTTATTCTATAGCTAGAAAACATTTACAATAGTGAGTGAGTGGTTTTTCAAGTGTGGAAAACCATTTTAGCGCGGTCCATTTCCGTTCTAATTAATCTCATGCTTTGATGGTATGCTATTTACAAATATAGTTTGCCATGGTGATGTATACATTCTGTCACTGGCATCTCTTACCGGAATGTTAAAGAGAATTGGTTTTCTGCCTAGCAGGTGACATTTACAAATGTAACAAATATAACTTTGTTCTCCACAGAATGTCTACTAGAGTTCTCTTGGCCACCCTCTCCATCCCTATTACCCCTGAGCGCACAGATATTGCTCGTCTTCTGGATATGGATGGCATTATAGTTGAAAAACAACGTCGCCTTGCAACGCTTCTAGGTCTTCAGGCCCCACCAACACGGATTGGCCTTATCAATGATATGGTAAGTATGTTTGAGCATATTCATAGCTTTGGGCAGAAGACGTTATGGTCAGGTTAAATAATTCATGATTTGATACTAGGAATTCTGATTCATAGCCAGGAGATTCAGATGCATAGACAGGTTTGGGAACCATTGGCATAAACTAGTACTGTGTTCAGATAAGGCGATTCTTTTATGTTAGGTAAATTGGGGTTAAATTGCCAGGGGCTTTGATGATGTAGCGGAGGAGACTTGGCCTGGCCGTAAAGGAAGTACAGACCACTCAGAAAGAGGAGGAATGGTGGGCCAGAAGATTTCGTTGCTCAGAGGTCTGTACAAAAGCTAACTGAGGTAAAATGTGTGGGAAATGATGGGTGATGAGGTGTGGAAAGAGAGGTGGATGTAGGCCTAGTTCTGGACAACTAAAATATTTTCAACTTTTTTCTCTTTTAAACTTTAATTTTCTTAATTAGGGCTTTGCAGTATAATTGTGTGTAGAGTACTTTTTAAAGGGCAGACTTCTAGGTTTCACCCACAAGATCTACTGAATCAATTTTAGAATGTGGAGCCTTAGATTTGTATGTCTTTACAGCATTCTCTATTGATGGAATCTTTCATTCAGTAGAAATTTGTCAAGTGCTTGTAGGCATGTTACAGTGAAGTGGAGTTTGTATTCTGACAGACTAACTCCTTGGGAGTTTAGATTCTAGGGATTCTGATTCACAGTAACCTGACTTAGTCGTTATTGCAGTAATCACCTTCAGCAGATTACACTGAAACAAGAGAAAAGGCACAAGTGCAGGAGAAAAGTACTAAGGAAAGTCAGCATGGCTGAATGCTTACAAAAATTAAATACAAACATTAACAGTCCCTAATTTGTGAGTAGAGCAATTGAAGAAATGCAGAGAGATAATAGGAAGTACAGGTCCTTTTTAAGTAATGTGAACATAGACTCTGAGACAACACCTATAGACATTCTGGTAAAAGCCAGATAAAAGGCATTACGTTGCTGGAAGAATGAATCATTTAAGGTAAGAACTAACGAGCTTTCACTATGTAGGTAGCTCCCGACTTGTGAGGTGTTCAAGTTACGACAAACTGCACTTACAACTGTTCTTTTTTTTGGTACATCTTATCGTTAGTGATATGTACTACATACAGTGTTGCAGCGCGTAATTTGCTGCAGTTGTAAGTTTATGTGTAATGTTTCCAACCCCCAAAGACAAATAAAGATGGGATTTATAAAGATACTGATAATAAAAGACAATGAAAACTAAAAAAAAAAAAAAAAAAAAGTCAGCTTAAACGTTTAGAACTGACTTATGATGGAGTTGTCAGAGGAGAACCCTGTCGTAAGTTCAACTTTGTGTGCTTTTGGACAAATTTTTTAAGGGACAGACTTAAGATTAAATGCAACAGAAAACAAGAGCAGTGTCTTTGGGAAGAAGTTTTATTAGCAAATGTATTAAAAAACGTCTTTTTTTAAATCTTAAGAAAAATATCCCAAACTGGAAGTCTACCATGCTCTTGAACCTATGTCTCAGCACACCACACCTTGATGTTGAAGTTCATCTATTCTTAACTGACTCAGGGATCAGTGTTGGAGGGTACTGGACCAGCAATCAGTAAATCTAGATTTGGATTCTCATTCTGCCCATAGATGGTGTAGAAGTTTAAAAGAAGGGTACAGGCTGGTGTCAGGTGACTAGATTAGCTGGCTGTCAAGAGGCGTTTATATTGTGGTAAGTTCGCCATATGTTTAGCGTCAAGACCTGAGTTTTGGGCTCATGTGACTGAACTTGTGACCATAGAGAGTGAGTCTGCACCTCAGGAGCACATATAACTTAATCAGTCTAACCTATTTTAGCATATTCCCTATTTGCAGGGGGAGCTAAATGGAGAATCTAATTATTTGCTTGGTAGAAATGAAATTAGAGCTAGGGGAATTTTATTGGAGTGCTCATACGCATCTTACTCCAACCAAGACTTAGGGACCCTTATAAGGGGTGCATTCAAATGTTTAGGACATCAGTCATACATCCATTTTGCATTGGGGTTAAACTTAGACTAGAGCACAAGTGTGTGGGCATCCTCCTCTCCAGGGGCTGGACTCTGCTGAAGTGTGCGTCAGTCCCGTGAGCCAGCCTGCATTGGTCCATCCTCCTGTCTGTTCAGTCAGGTCTTGCTCTGGCCCGGCCGTTACTCTGTCCTTGGGTCAGCTCTTCTAACATGTGAAGGATCAAGGTCGGATGCACTACACGCTCTAGGGTGAAGGACAGGCAAGAGGGGATTTGGTTATGGGATGTTTTTGGCTTCATAAAATTATTCCACTCTTGTCTCCCTTATAAGAAAAGTTATCTAAGTATAATCTTTATTGTGGAAGGAAGTTGAATTTTATTCAAATGTAAACTTAAAAACTTCATTGAATTATAAAAAGAGTACGAATCATAAATGTAGTTCGGCAAATTCTCAAAATGTCTCTTCCAGTGACCGCTCCCTAATACTCCCCAAGAATAGCCACTATCCTGCTTTCTACACCACAGATTAGTTTTGCCTGTTTGAGTACTGTATGTAAAACTTAAATTTTATATAAATGGCATAATACGTGAACTCTTTTACTCACCATTTTGTTTGTAAAATTTACCCACGTGTTGTGTGTCACTGTTCTTCGACGTTCTTGTATATCGTTTGTGAGTGTACCACTATTTATCTTGTTGATTAGCATTAGGGTTGTTTCCAGTTTTGGGCTATTATAAATAATGCTGCTGTTTTACACACACATAGGTGTAAAAGTAATTTGTAAACTGTGGTATTTTATTTGTTGTTAGTAATAAGTTAGTCTACATAGGCCACAGTAGATGTCTGGGCGGGTATTTTATTGTGTTGATTTAGAGTTTTATTTAAGTTCTTGCAAGGCTTTTCATTATAGGTAGGTGAGTAATTTGGGGCAAGAGGTTGAACATAGTGGTACTTTGGATTCCTCTTTGGTAAATTTAAAGGGGCTTGAGGTTAGAGAATCTTTCAGTCATTTTCCAGATTTCAGATGTATAATTTTCTTTATACTGAATTCAGTGTCAGAGTTTGGAAATTTCTTTCAACAGTAATATATCTTGTTTATTGTAGGTCAGGTTCAATGTACTGCAATATGTTGTCCCAGAAGTGAAAGATCTTTACAACTGGCTGGAGGTAGAATTTAATCCACTAAAACTCTGTGAGAGAGTCACAAAGGTAGGTCCTTGTATTTATGTTGTGGGTGTGTTACTGTGTCACTACCTTGAGTGTTAGCCAGCCCTACTGGGGTTTTGGGTTGTGTTTATATTTGTTAAGAGAAAAGTATTGTCCTGTGTGTTTGAATTCAGTGCACATTTCATTGTCTTTTTTTTTTTCATGTCAAGAAAAAGGATATTTCTGATGTGCTAGATAAACCTTTGGAGGTAAATTAGCAGTGTGGCTAATCTAGCCATTGCTGTCAGTCACCTTCAGACAAGTATCACCAGCTTTGCGTTACATTTTGTATTTCTTTGTGTTCGCTGATGTTTTGGTATATAAAAACCAAAAATTTCACAGATGTTTTTAGTATCTCTTATAAAAAGTATAATTCTTTTTTAATGTAATGGATTTTATAGGTTCTAAATTGGGTTAGGGAACAACCTGAGAAGGAACCAGAGTTGCAACAGTATGTCCCGCAACTGCAAAACAACACCATCCTCCGCCTTCTGCAGCAGGTAAAAACACAACATGAGTGTTTTCTCTGAGAACTGGAATTTCCCCTTTTGACTGTTCTGATCACAGAACTAAAAACTGGAAAAATAACGAAAGCCTGCCCTAATTCTACCCCCTGCCAAAACTAGTCTTACTAATGTACTTGATATGAAAACAAGTATTTTATATAACTTGTAACTACTATTCACTATCTTAGTACGTTTTCTCTTATTAGTAATTTAGGTCTGCACGTTCCTTTTAATATGTGAATGACTTCATTATCTAAATGTACTGTGATTTATTTATTCAGACCTTATTGATGGACGTCTGTATTTCTGTGTTTTTATTAGAGAAGTAGCAATGAACACCTTCCATATGTGTATCTTTGCATGCTTATGTGACTTTCTATAGCATGAGAAGTGGAATTAGCCATAGAATTTACATATTTAAAGTTTAATAGCCATTGAAGTTTCAGTTAATGGCCCCTCCCACCAATAGTGAATGAGAGAGCGTTCTAACACCAAGTATTATCAAGCTTTTAACATGTTTTATTCCAACTTCTTAAGTAAGTTTGAATGTTATGATTTATAATATGGCTTAAATGTTTCTTTTTTGGCTTCTCTTTGACTTTTTGGGGGCCTTTTTTGTGTTGCGTTTGTGCACATTTCATTGACCTGCTTTCTTTTATATTTGTGAGCAGTGTTATTTCTTACGTGCTATACAAATAGTTGAAGGTTAATTAGCAGTATCACTAAGTAGTAATGCTGCCAGTCTCCTTCAAACAAACAAAATTTGATAAAAAATGCTCAGATGAATTAGTTAAGCAGCAGGTCTTTATCTACAAGTATGTTATCGTATAGGTTTTTTATTTTACTAAACTGGGATGAGAAAAGATTATTCTTTCGAGGAATGCTGTAATGTGATATTTCAAAGCAGGGCTTTGGAGTTGATAGCCTTGAATCATAGTGCCAGTTCTAGCGATACACTGTTAAACATGTTCTCTGCGCTTCATTTTTTTCCCTGATAAATAGGCATAATTTCTGCTTCTCAGGGTTGTCGTGAAACTACACATAGAAAGTGCTGAATAAATGGCAGCTACTATTGTGTTTTCTATGCAGGTGGCACAAATTTATCAGAGCATTGAGTTTTCTCGTTTGACTTCTCTGGTTCCTTTTGTTGATGCTTTCCAACTGGAACGGGCCATAGTAGATGCAGCCAGGCACTGTGACCTGCAGGTATGTGCTTCAAGGGTCCCTGAGGTGGAAGGCTTTTGAGGACTAGAAAGCCACACGTCCTTTGTTTCTTAGCTTTTGGTACAGTGGCACTCTTTTAAACCTTTACTGAGTAGATCTTCTAGAAGATTAATTTTTTTCTTAGTCAAAAGTTATTTTGTGGAATGACTTCATATTTGCTTATAGGTTTACCTGCTGATGATAATTTCATTTACTTTTCAAAGGTTCGTATTGACCACTCTTCTCGGACCCTTAGCTTTGGATCTGATTTGAACTATGCCACTCGAGAAGATGCTCCCCTTGGTCCTCATTTGCAGAGCATGCCTTCAGAACAGATAAGAAATCAGCTGACAGCCATGTCCTCAGTACTTGCCAAAGCACTTGAAGTCATTAAGCCAGCCCATGTACTGGTACGCATCTGAGGGGTAGATGAACTGCAGGAGTTTTTGAGGGATTCTTAGATCATGTCTTTCACAAAAGGGTTTGAGATGGTATCTGAGAGAAGGGATTTATACATTTCCTATTCAGTTGTGCTTGGTTTATTTGTTTTCTCAAATGTCTTTATCAGATATGTAGATTATTGAGCCTACCTTCCATGAAAAATCACAGATAATGTAGTAAAATATGGATAGTGTTATATAAAACAACAGGCTGCACACGTCATGACCCCCAAAATAACTTAATAGAAAGAAGTGCAGTTGTTTGGGTTTTTCCTCTCTGCTAAAGTTATTTCTTGTTTGTGGGCTCTGTAGTCCTTCTTGGCTTGAACACTTTAACGTAGAGTTGGGGTGGAGAAAAGTTGACTTAGCAAATAAAGATTCTTCAGTTTCGTTGCTATTAAAAGATTGACTAAGAGCAGTACCACAGTATTTGGTACTAGGAAGTAATAGTTTGAATAATGTCATTTTCCATTACTAAATGCAAACAGATATAAAGGTAATATTTTTGCACATTTTGTTAATTTTCAAGATGTTTAATACTATATACTATGTAACTTTTAATGCATTTTTCTTGATGCATTTGTTTTTGAAGCAAGAAAAAGAAGAACAGCATCAGTTAGCTGTTAATGCATACCTAAAAAATTCACGAAAAGAGCATCAGCGTATCCTGGCTCGCCGTCAGACAATTGAGGAAAGGAAAGAACGGCTTGAGAGTCTAAATATTCAGCGTGAGAAAGAAGAATTGGAGCAGAGGGAAGCTGAACTCCAGAAAGTACGGAAGGCTGAAGAAGAGAGACTGCGACAGGAGGCCAAGGAGAGAGAGAAGGAGCGTATTTTACAGGAACATGAACAAATCAAAAAGAAAACCGTTCGTGAGCGTTTGGAGCAGATCAAGAAAACAGAACTAGGTGCCAAAGCATTCAAAGATATCGATATAGAAGTACGTAGATATTACTCATTAAATTGTTAGTTTTATCTAGGTCTTTTGTAATCTTAAAACCACAGTTCTATACCATTTACTGATTTATCGTGGATTACTTGATTATTTTAGTAATGGACAGCTGGTTCATTAACTGACTCTGTGAGTGAGCATTTCTTTTTAATTGCTCTGTGCACTTTTTAAGCACTGTATTTGTCATGGCATTTGAGTTTAGGTAGATACCGTGTTTATTTTGCAGAGCAGAGTGAGAAATAGATGCTAAGATTATTTTCCCCCCACGTTGTCTAAATTAACACTCATTATAAACAAAAAGTAATTTAGGACTTGATTCTAGGAAGCAGCTACATTGACTTTTATGCATTTTCTTTTATATTCTCATTAAAGATGGTGAATGTTTTTTTCAGGACCTTGAAGAATTGGATCCAGATTTCATTATGGCTAAACAGGTTGAACAGCTGGAGAAAGAAAAGAAAGAACTCCAAGAACGCCTAAAGAATCAAGAAAAGAAGGTAAATGAATGGACTGGTAAACTTTAAGAAACTGATACACTTTATTTTTCAGAGAAGTTTCAGTTTTACAGAAAAATTGCAGTAGAAAGTACAGGGTTCCCACATACCTCCACCCCCTGCCCAAAGTTTCGTTTATTTTTAATACATCTTGCTTTAGTGTGGTACATTTGTTACAATTGATAACCAGTATTAATAGATTATTATTATCAACTAAAGTCCGTTGTTTACATGGCAGTTCACTCTTTGTGTTGTACAGTCCTGATGTTATGTAGCCACCATTACAGTGTCCTGCAGAATAGTTTGGAAACCCTGGTGGTGTAGTGGTTAAGTGCTCCGGCTGCTAACCAAAAGTTGGCAGTTTGAATCCACCAGGAGCTCCTTGGAAACTCTAAGGTGCAAGTCTTCTCTGTCCTATAGGGTGGCTATAAGTGGAATTATTTCTGAATAATACTTCATTGTATGGATGCGTCACAGCTTATCTGTTCACCGATTGAAGCACATCTTGGTAGCATCCAGTTTTTGGCAATTATGAATAAAGCTGCTATAAATATAAACATTCACGGGCAGGTTTATTTGTGGACATAGTTTTCAATTTATTTGGGTAATATCGAATAGTGCGATTGCTGGATCATTGACGGTAAGCCTATATGTTTAGCTTTGTAAGAAGCTGCTGGACTCTATCCCGAAGTGGCCATACCATTTTGCATTTCCACCAGCAGTGAACATGAGGTTTTCTGTTCTTCCACACCCTCACCAGCATTGAGCTTTGTCAGTGTTTTGGATTTTAACCATTCTAACAAGTGTGTGGTGGTATCTTGTTTTTATTTGCAGTTTCCTAATGATATATAATGTTGAGCCACGTATTCATGTGTATATGCCATCTGTGTGCCATTGGTGAGGGTCTGTTTAGTGCTTTTGCCCATTTTTATTTGATTGTTTTCTTACTGTTGAGTTTTAAGAATTCTCACCTTGGATAAAAGTCTTATCAGGTGTGTGTTTTGCGAATATATTTTCAGAGCTTGTGGTTTGTCTTTTTATTCTGTTAAGACTGGTAAACTCACAGCATACCAAATGAAAGGAATTTTTTAAAAATTTTTTTTCAGATTGACTATTTTGAAAGAGCTAAACGTTTGGAAGAAATTCCTTTGATAAAGAGTGCTTATGAAGAACAGAGAATTAAAGACATGGATCTGTGGGAGCAGCAAGAAGAAGAAAGAGTAAGTTTCTTATTGTATTTCTAGATTGTAAGTGATGATTAAATTTTATGCCAGTATTGGGATTATTTTTCAAAATTTATTTTGTTCTCTTTTGCTAGAAATGGTGCTTTAGTGACTGTGTACTAATAGGTTGGTGGAAGGTATGAATTGTCACATAGAGATTAAAAATGAAATTTGTAAAATTACAAATAACAGCTAAACAGCTCATTTTTAAAGCAGTTTTATTGAGATATTCACATACCATACAACTCACCAACTTACAGTGTACTACAACTCATGATTTTTAGAATATTCACAAAGGCGTGCAGCTATCGCCTAATGTAATTTTAGAATATTTTTATCACACCAAAAAGAAACTATCCATTAACAGTCTCTCCCCCCTTCCCACCTCCCCTCCCTTCAGGTTAGGCAACAACTAAGCTATTTTCTGTCCCTGGATTTGCCAATTC